GTTATTCTTGTTATTGTTTATGCTGTGTTTCCCAAGTGGCCTGAGTTAATGTTGCTGAACTTCTTTTTGGTTGTGTTTCTTCTGTTATTCTTTTCGATGATGCCAAAAGGGGGAAGTTGTATGTGTCAACATGGGTGTGAAAGTTATATGGTATGGTGTCAACATGGGGGAGGAACAGAATCAAATTGATATATTGTGTTGTGCATGAAAGATGGCTCTGCTTCGCGGGGGGAACGTTGCTGATAATATGTTGATGATAGGTCTGATCCGCAGGGAAACATGTGAGGAATCTGGTTCTCAAGAGGAATAATAATTTCGGGTTTGTCATCATCAAAAAAGGGGAAATTGATCTAAGTTACACTATGTCATGTTTTGATGATGACAAACGTTCTCAACGAACTGGGCACGGACCAGATGTGATTAACGCATGTAAGGAATCTGGTTCTTAGGGGGAATAATTCTAGGTTTGTCATTCATAAAAAAGGGGGAAATTGATAAGTTATGGTACTTTGAGTTTTGATGATTTGCCAAACGGTCTTGAGGAACCAGTTGTGATCAGCTCCTTAGGTTCAGTTCTCATGGGGAATATGGCTGATTCGTAGGGGGAACAATGTGGAGATCTGGTTCGCGGGGGGAATATCAAATCAAAGTTTGCCGTCATCAAAAAGGGGGAAATTGATAGGTTACAAGTACCTTGGGCATAGGTACTTTACTTTATGTTTTGATGATCTAACAAACTTACCATCCAGAACTAGATAAGGAAGTTGTTACACATTCACAAGACCTCGAGATCACAAGTTTCAGGTTGAGATCCAGCGTGGGATATAACTCAACTCTTCAGAGGGGAAGGAACAGCTGAGGAAACAGGTTCCTACCAGTTCCGGAGGAGACTGTATGAAGTCAACTCTCCAGTAGGAAAGTTGCTGCCTGTACACGCTACTGCACAGGAACAGTGCAGTAGTCAACTTTCTATGGGAGGCTTTTTACCTACCTTGCTTACATCATTGTAAGTGATGTCACACACGTATAAATACAATCAAGGAAGGTAAAAAAACCTAATTCATGAGAGAACCAGATAAAGGACCTGAAGCATGCCTGGTACAATTATTCAAGATAATCTGGGCAGTGTGCCTTTAGATTCACAGGAACCAGATTAGGAACCTGATACCTTGGTGTTCCCCTGACAGAAGTATAAGTCAACTGTACAGCTGGAAAGCAACTGCAGAAAGTGACTGCCTGCAACTATACACGCAACAGTTCAGCAAACAGTACAGCAGTCACTTCCCATTGAGAAGAGGCATGTACTAACCAAGATTTGACATCACTAAGGTGATGTCTTTTGTAGTATAAACCTGGTGCAAGGCACAAGACATTCTTGTCCAAGGCTTGCAAAATCAGAAATGAAAATACTCACTCAAGTGCTTGCCACAACCTCTTTCAAGAACAAAGCTGCTGCAACCTCAAGGACCTGATCCAAGATCGAAGATATCTTAAGTCCTTAGGTTTGTTGAGTCTTTGTTATTTGCTCTTCATTGTAACTCCTATCTTGCTTTCTTAGAAGCTGTTTTTTAGGAAACCCAAAATCCGTAAACTCTACAGTTTATGTTGTGACTAGGTTTAGTCATAAGTTAAGTCTTTGTAATAGAGTTATTACAAAGTGGCTTGTAATAGTGTTGTTACAAGTTAGTTGAGTTTAAAGTCTTTGTTACTAGGAAGTGACAAAGTGGTTTGTGGTGAGAGTATCACAAGTTAGTTAAAGTCTTTGTAACTAGAGAGTCACAAAGTGGCTTGTGGTGAGAGTACCACAAGTTAGTTAAGTTGAATCCTTTGTAATAGAGTCATTACAAAGTGGCTTGTAATAGGTGTTTAAAAGTTAGTGAAGTTGAAAGCCTACAAGTGTAGGTCGTGGTTTTTTGATCCCCTTGTGTGGGATTTTTCCACGTAAAAATCCTCTGTGTTCTTTACTTACTGCCGAGCTACTGTGGAACAATTAGAGAACCTGACTCCCTATACTGGTTGGTTTTACATTCTGTTGCTTACAGTGGGAGCTTATAAAGAATCTAGTTCTCTATACAATAGGAACTTATCCTGTGTCTCATTTACATATTGGTTTCAGTAGTTAGCACTGTGGGAACTGATATAGGACCAGATCGCTATACAGTTTGGTTCATTAGTATCTTCAGTGGAAACACATAGAGAACCTGGTTCTCTATACAGTCTGGTGGATGCTTAGTTTTCCAACAGACTACTAACCTGTTGATCACGCCCAACTCTAGTCCTAAAAAGGATAAGCGGTCGCTGCAAATATAATCCGGTCTAAAAGTCTGGAGTCGAATCCCACTGAGAACTAAGGCTTAGCTATATCTGTTTAATATCACTAAGAAAACAAGTTTGAACAATTTTCTAAATTATAATGATTGAAATTTATATTTCTAACTAATTAACTAGCAAATACTATAAAGCAGTAAAATTATCAACTAACGAGACAAAGGGTTGGAGACTAAATTAAGGAGGTCTAGAGTTATGATTTCCCGAATTGTGGGAATCCTTCCAGCTATGTTCCCTAAGTTTCGCCGATGTATTCTCTACTGATCGTGAGCACTTTTGGTGTCGTAATTCTCTCTCGAGCAACTACAACAATTTACTAACATATTTTCTCGAACTACACTAGTTTGCTTCATCTAAACGCTCACTATGACCAAGTCAAGGCTTTGTTATTTCTAAATCTACCTTTAAGCCCACTGTATTTATTTCTCACATACGTTGGAGTGACGTTATTCAACAACTACCTAAATATGTACTCTCTCTTGAGCAGTACACACTAAATAGGCACAATCAATTGATGTCCATTCAATCAATAGCAACAAACTCGCAGTTGAACAAGTAGAGAAATCCAACGGAAAAAGGTTCTATCAATACCCTAAAAAACAAATTAGCTATTCATAATAGTATGCAAAAATACAATACTAGAATTCATAACCAATAATGGAAATAGGAAGAAGGAAGTGAAAAACTCGTGGAAAATTCTCCGCCTTGCTCCCAGTTTGTTCTTGCCTCCTTAGGTCGAATCCCCGGTCTCCTTAGCCTCTTAGGTCTAAAATATGTCCAAAGTCCCAAAAATAATGTTTTTCTATGTATATATACCAAGTAGGGTTGGGCCCAAACAATTATACCTTCTCCTACGGGAAAAAGGACAGTTTTCCCGGACAGAACATCTGCGGACGCGGATTCAACCGCGGATTTAGCCGCGGATTTTACCCAGTTTCTGCCTCACATCCGCGTCCAGTGCGCGGCCGTACACTTGTCGCGCATATTTCACCCGGTTCCATTTGGAATTCGGAAATACGTAAAATGGTAACATTGTAGCCCTTTGAATTATCTTTCCAACCGTATATTGTGTATCCCAAATGGATTTCTGAGTAAAAAGTTATGTACATTTTACTAGACAGTGCGCAATATGCCTACTTGATTCTTAGTTCGTTCTTAACTATCATCCGTTGATCCCCGAACACGATCCCGGCTTAATTCCTTGGGCTTTTACTCAGACTTCAAAGTTCCAAATCACTTGAATTCATTCCATAACATCTACATAGCTCGGAATCACTCCTACAAGGCATAAAACACACAATTAGTGCAAAATACTAGTGATTAAAGCGCAAACTCAACTGAAGTGCAGTGAATTGGAATGTAATAGTCGACTAAAATACGCAATTATAGCCTATCATCAACACCCAAGCTTACATCATTGCTCGTGCTCGAGCAATAAAACTACACTTTATATAGACACGACCTTTTTAAACAATTCTCCTAACTCATCACACCAAGAATATTTAAAACAGACTAGGCACAAAAGCGTAACATCTTCGCCTCAAGATTTGACTTACAGGTACCACGCATTATTCACAACTTACCCACGTACTCTAACATAGAGGTCACTGACATTACCTTTCCTTCATGAATCAAGTGTCCTCACACAACAAAAGAGAGTAGTTCCACCCAATAAAATATAAGAACACTTAGGAATTCAAGATAGAAAGAATTCACTCACTCTCAGAAATAACATTCATATGCCACAAAAGATGCACCATAGGCTTGCCCGTAGTGTACTCCTCTACTAATCGAGCTCATTCAGTCTAAGATCAAGTAGGACTTATTTGGTTGTAATGTAGGCTGCGAGACGGGTAGGATACATTTAGATATCAGAGTGACTACACCTCCCTAAGCACTTTAATACATATACTTTAACATTCAAACCCCATACTTATGTCAAACCAAACTCCACCTTCACATTAATGTATATTACCCCATACTTCTTTAAGCACAATTACATCAAGAGTCACCACTTATCAAGGAATATTTTTGTCACAGCAATACAACTATTTTTTTCCCTTTCTTTCTTTTCAAATTCAAGTGGCTCTTACTTTTTCAAAACGGTGCACCTTTCTCCTTATTTCATTGGTCTCAAAATCCAAACCAACCACCCCATACATTAACTTTTACACAGTTCATAACAATTCAAGTGCTCATGAGAGGTTAGAAGGTTCAAATAGATGGTTAATTCAAACAAATGGGTAAGGCTTGTAATGTGGTTGCCAAAGAAATAGGATTACAGGCTCAAAGGGGTTAACTACGATACATACAATTAGGCGGATAAAATATATATATGGCTCAACAAAGAAACGCCTATATCACTTCCAAGACTGAACAAAACTACTATTTCACTTTGCAAACACACGGGGCAAGTTCTAGACATCAAATGCAATGCACAGAATAACACACAAACCTCATACACACATGGCACATAACTCACTTAGGATTGGTTTCATCAAGACACTCTAGTCAAAGCAGTTAAGCAAACTTAAGCTTATACTTTGGCAGTCCACGAACCAGGTCCTTCTTGACCAACTTGTTCAGCAATGTAAAACTTGCATGGCCCAACCTTTTGTGCAACATTTGAGCATCATCATCCATAGCACTCAGACATGTGAGATCCCCATTATCTAGGACTCAAAATCGGCGACATAGATGTTTTTGTATCTTTTTGCCATCAGGATCACTTCACCAGTCACAAGATTTGTGACTATGTAGATTTTTGACATAGATTCCACCTTGTTGCCTTTGTCGCAGATTTGAGAAACACTCAGTAAGTTGTACTTCAAGCCATTCACACAATACACATTCTCGATTGAGTGAGTGAGAGACTTCTCAATTCTCCCTACTCCCAGAATATATCCTTTTTTGCCATTGCCAAAGGACACACTCCCTCCTTGCAGGGCTTTGAGTGAAAGGAAATTATTAGTGCTTCCAGTCATATGCTTCGAGCAGCCACTATACATATACCATCTTTGGTTGCTTCCTTTCATTGCTCCCTACACAAGAGAATCAAGGATTAGACTTAGGAACCCAAACAAGTTTGAGTCCCTTGTAATGAGGAAAAGGGTGAATCAAAGTTCTTTTTGTCTAAGCAAGCATCACACGTTTTTTATATGAGGGATCTGGTTCTTTAGCAGCAGTTACTTTTTCAGCAAAAATTTTTGTTTTTCTGTTGGGACTGGAATCTGGCTTTACATGTTTACTTGAAATGCCCGGTGTTACCACAGTGAGTGCAGGGCCAGTTATCAGGGACAGTCACGTACTTGCTATGTGAGTTGTAGGGAGTTTTTTCCCTTTGGAATCTGATTCGCTGCCTATTCCCCCATTGTTCTTAAACATAGTAGTGATTGCATCAGAGGAGCAAGTCCACTTAAGAGATTTTTCTAGGTCATTCTTCACACTGCCTAGATCTTCCTGAAGTTGTCTGTTTTTCTGAAGTTCAACACACAGACTAGATTTCAATGATTTTAGCTCATTTTCAAGCCTAAGGTGTGCCTCACTTGCAACTTCCTTTCCCTTTTGAGTGTTCTCATGCCTACTTTCCCTTCTTAGTTCCTCAATTGTTTCCTTTAGGTCTACAACTACTACTAATAAGTCATCTCTCTCATGCTCTATGTTTGCAATCCTCTCAGTTAAGGTATCTTTTTCCCCTTTTAAACTCTCAATGGTCTCTTTTAGATCAGCCACAACAACCACTAGATCATCTCTCTCATGTTCTATTTCTCCTAGTTCCACAGTTAACACATTCTTATCATTAATAAGATTGTGATATGCATCAATTAGAAAATTAGCCAAGGATATAGGCTTCTTTTAAGAATAGGACTTCAAATTTCTTTGAACATCCAGAAAGTTTACCTCATCATCATTGTCATCTTCCTCATCCTCATCTGATTTGCCATTAGGGCAAAAATGGAGTCATACTCAGCTGCTTCACTTTCAACTGCCATCATAGAGCTATCACCTTGCTCATCATCTTTTCCAAATTCGCTGCAAGACTCTCCCCAGGAAGCAAGAGCCTATTTCACAACATTATCAATGACATCTTTTCCCTTGAATCTTTTGTCGGGAACCAGGTTCCTCTTGGTTGCTTTATATGTGTTGTGTTTGTACTGGTCTTGCTTGTGGGGAGTGAAGTCCTTGATGAAATATCCTAGCTACTCCCACTTATGACATAAGTCATAGCCTCTTGGCTTGCTACAACTGCCCCTCTTTGGAATACCTCCATTTCTATGAACCATCTTCTGAAATCTTTTTGTTAGATAGGCCATATCAGCATCCTCACCACTTGAGTCGTTGTTGTCTGTCTTGAGGACCAGATTCTTCTCCCTTTTGGGCTCTCTTCTCTCATGATCCTTCTTCTTCTTCATCTCATAAGTCTTCAGATTGCCAATGAGTTCATCAATGGTCAGCTTTTGCAGATCCTTTGCCTCCGTGATAGCGTTCACTTTGCTTTCCCAGGAACCAGGTAATACAGTGAGTATTTTCCTGACAAGTTTGTTCCTTGGAATAATCTCTCCCAGAGAATGAAGCTCATTGATGATAGAGGTGAAGCGAGTGTGCATGACCTGAATGGACTCATCATCCTTCATCCTGAAGAGTTCAAACTCAGTGGTTAGCATATCAATCTTCGACTAATTGAGCTGAGTTGTCCCCTAGTGTGCTGTTTGGAGAGCTTCCCAGATTTTTTTGGCAGATTGACAGGCATAAATCCTATTGTATTCGTCTGGTCCAATGCCACAGACGAGGATCATTTTTTGCTTGAAAATTCTTATCTATAGACTTGCGATTAGTATGGTTGTATTCCTTTCTTATTTTTGGAATTGTCATTGCTGGTTCACCAATGGTCTTCATGGGAATGAAAGGACCATCACAGATAACATCCCAGACCTCTGAATCTTCAGCCACGATGAAGTCATGCATCCTTGTTTTCCACCATTCGTAGTATTGTCCATTGAACCTTGGTGGTCTTTAGGTAGACTAACCTTCTTCAAAGTTTGGTGGAGCACCCATGAGGATCCTTTCCAGGTGTTAGCCTGATAGAACGAACTGGCTCAGATACCAATTGATAGAAACTAAGGGTCCACCAAACTATATTGTCACGACCCAAAATCCATTAAAGGTCGTTATGGCGCCGAACACCGCTGTAAGGCAAGCCAACAATAAATAATCAACTTGGTTCTCATTTTAGCATTTTTGAAATCATAATTTCCTTCAATTAATTGGTAAAAGATGAAATTTACAGAATGAATAAAAATGTTTTCACAGTTTCAATACTGAACAGCCCATAGTTACCCCAAAACCTGGTGTCACAAGTGCATGAGAATCAACTAGGAAGGTAAAATAAAATACAGCATCTGTCCGGAATACAAATTAGGCAGGAAAAGACATAAGTAACTTTGAAGGAGACTTTGCTGGCTGCGGATCGTAATATGGAAATGCAGCTCACCTACGTCCCCGCAAATAATCACGCCTCTGCTCTCACAGGGCCACTAGACACATATGCGCTTGCACAAAAATGTGCAACAAGTGTAGTATGAGTACGTAAATCAACGCGTACCCAGTAAGTATCCAGTCTAACCTCGAAGAAGTAGTGACGAGGGTCGACTCTGACATTTACCATGGGCTAACAATAAAAAATGCCGATATTATATTTAAGCATGGAATATATAACATAGCTGGAAATTCAATAACCGGAAACAATCAACAATTCTTTTTACTAATAGAAATTTCCAATTTCATTTTCATGATTTAACAAGTTATATCTCAAGCCATTAAAGCAATGCCAATTATTATTAGTTCCAAAGAGTTATCATGCGCAAGTCATGCCGAGGTCGTACGGCCCGATCCAACATATAAATATAAATTGTACACTGCCGAGGGTCAAACGACACGAACCATAGATACATCTATCTACTACTAAGGCATTCGGCCCGCTCCACAAGAAGAGAAAAACCAAATAAACAACCAAATTCATGATTTATTAAGAGTTAATGTTCAAAGAAATATCAATTCTCATTAACGGTCAAGTGACCCGTCTAAAACTCAAGTAGGTGAAGTTTAACCTTTTACAATTCCTTTATCAAGTTTCAATATGTTTTAAACAGTTAAATTAACAAGTAGGATGCAAACATCGCAAATATAACATGATTTGGGTCCTAGACTACCCGGACATAAGCATAATAGTAGCTACACAGGGACTCTCGTCACCTCATACTTACGTAGCCCCCACAAATTGGAAGCACATATTAATTTAATTCACCTATGGGATAAATTTCCTCTTACAAGGTTAGAAAAGAGACTTACTTCGCTCCGAAATTCCATAGCCGGCTCCCAAGCCTTTCCAACAACTCAAACCGATGCCTAACGCTCCAAAACTAGTCAATAAATGTGCAAATCCATAAATATATACTTTAACACTCATTATAATCCAATTTACAACAATTTCCAACTCCGTTCGAACAGTCGATAAAAATCGCCCTTGGGCCCACGTACACGGATTCCGAAAATTTTCAAAGATAAAATTTACCTATAACACCACGAACTCAAATATATAATTTTATTCCAAATTCCATGCCCAAATTCGTGGTCAAAATCCAAAAATAACATTTTCTAGGGTTTTCTTCAAAATCCCAAATTTTCACTAATTTTCATGTCTAAATCCATATATCAACCTTGTATTTAACTCACAACTAGTATAACTCACTTACCTCATGATAGATGATGAAATCCCCTCTTCAAAAGCTCCAAAATCGCCCAAGCCGTGTGAAAAATGGGTGAAATGAACTCAAACCCTGCTTTTAAAACATTCTGCCCCACCCTGGTCCGCCCTTCTTCGTGTTCGCAATCAAAGCCTCGAGTTTGCGATGGCTCTAGAATCATCTCCTTCGCGTTCGCGACTGCGACCCCACGTTCACGAAGGCTAAAAGGCTCCGGGCCCAGCTCCCCCGTTCCTTCTACGCGTTCGCGATTAACCCTTCGCATAGGTCCCTCAGGCAATCCCTTCGCGTTCGCGACCTCCCCGTCGCATTCGCCAAGACCAAAACTCAGCAGCCTCAAAATTCCTCTTCGCGAATGCAGGACTCCATTCGCGTTCGCGATGAAGGAAATCAGATACCAGCAACAGCAGTCCAAAACAGCTCTAATTTGGTCTGAAACGACCCCGAAATACACCCGAGGCCCCCGGGACCCCGTCCAATCACACAAACCAGTCCCATAACATAACACGGACTTGCTCGAGGCCTCAAATCATATCGATCAACATCAAAATCAAGAATCGCACCCTAATTCAAGCTTAATGAACTTTAGAACTTCAAACTTTTACATTCGATGTCGAACCCTATCAAATCATGCCCGATTGACCTTAAACTTTGCACACAAGTCACATTCGACATTACGGACCTCTAACTTCCGAAATCAGAATCCGACCCCGATATCAAAAAGTCCACTTCCGGTCAAACTTCTCAAAAACCTTCAAATTTCTAACTTTCGCCAAATGACTCCAGAATGACCTACGGACCTCCAAATCCACTTCCGGACACGTTCCCAATACCAGAATCACCATACGGAGCTATTCCAGACTCGAAGTACCAAACGGACATCGGTTACATTGAAATGCACTTCAACCCAAATTTATGAAATTCTTCCGAAATTCCAACTTGCACAATAGACACTGAAATGATCCTGGGACATCCAAAACCCAGTCCGAACATATGTCCAAATCCAAAATCATCATACAAACCTGTTGGAACCTTCAAATCCTGATTTCGAGGCCGGTTACTCAAAAATCCAACCTTAGTCAATTCTTCCAACTTAAAGCTTCCGAAATGAGAATTTTTTTTCCAAATCAACTCTGAACTTCCGAAATTCCAATTCCGACCACACGTACAAGTCATAATGCCTGAAGTGAAGCTACTCATGGCCTCAAACTGCCGAACGATGCGCTAGAGCTCAAAACGATCGGTCGGGTCGTTACATTCTCTCCCACTTAAACATACGTTCGTCCTCGAACGTGCTAAGAACTGCTCGTGAGTTGTCTGAAATCACTGTTTAACACCTCGTGCACCTACCCGTGCTACCAAAACTCAGTTGAGCACATTAGCTCGAGAAAATCTGATGATTCTCCCTTTTATTTAGTCAAATTAGCCTTAGAGCCAATTTCCAACATCTAAAATTCTCTACCAGGTCTGTTTCCATCATACAAACACCATATTAATCACTACACGATGCAATAATACGTGATTGCATACCTTTGTTGAATCCACACCGTGCACCGCATAATTCACTTGACCATAGTAACATCCTCTGATAACAACAACTGAAATCCCACAAATTTGATTCTCCAACACACCTCATGACACATATAAGTCATGTTCCAACTCTTGTAATGCTGCCACGACGTAAGAGATGTTTAGAAGTCCATAACCAACTGCCGAGTCAACAAATCGTGGAGTTCCTCCTCTTGACAAGAACCATTACCTCATTATGAACCAAATAACGGTATTTTCTCTTTAATATGCTTCATATAAATCTGATCACACTGATCACAAGTCCAATGATCTTGTCTCACCCAGTACAAGCTGCTCACGAAATAAGCCACCTCAGACTCTGCCAAAAGTCTCCTATGATGCTACAATGTGCCAACAAGCTACAAACTCGAATGTGATACCAAAGGAAAACTGAACCCTGGAAAGAACTACTCAACCCACGTAACTAATTACACAACCGAGAAGATGTTATGAACCCTCCTCAGAAAATGAGAAACAAAACACACGAGAATAGATATGGGAACTATACTTAACATAATGCTGTTGCGGCGTGCAACCCGATCCATACATAATACCGTTGCAGTGTGCAACTCGATCCAACCATGATACCCACGGCAGCGTTCCACCCTATGCACACAATGTACTCATAGTGGCATGCCACCCGATCCACACATAATCTATAAGGGGAAATACTTACCGAGCTAAAATCCTCATACTTGCAAAATACCCGGATATCAACCACAAGCACGTGAAGTGCATTATACAAATCCTGGGGAGACGGATAACGTCATACGCCGTGAAACTCAAGCACAAATAAGGTGCAATAAATGACCTGTATCTTTTGAGCCATCCTACTCTCACAACATCACAAATTACATAGGATTTCAACACGAGTGCGAATAATCAAATCGCCTCACAACCCACATGGCACAATACAGTATTACATGAAATAGCCGACGACGAAATAACTTCCAACGTCTGAATACTCCTCCATAAATAATGCTATGCTGAAATGAACACATCCGGCCTAATGTAGAGCCCACATTCACATTTAGATCCACCCACGGACCTCAAGCCGATTCCGATCGTACCGCATTGGGCCAATAACCTTTCAGGGGTCCACAATAACCCTTTTTCCACGACACACCAGAACGGCCGTCAATTTCGGAACAAACATCCTCAGTTCACAACCAAATGAATTGAGCGCCTTCCAGGCCTAAACTCTCACATTAGCGGTAGTACCACAGTCTCCGTACTTGGTTTCAATCTTCAAACAATGAAGTGACTACATGTCACACTTATACAATCTTCCCGTGGGATCACGACCTTCCGCACCAGGTAACAAGTCTGCACATCCATACCACCATCCACACTAATGCCATAAAGCAAATCAAGAATCCGCTATTAGTACGCAAAGCCTCTTACACAGGACACCGATCTCAGGTGACGCTAAAGACAATACCAGCTAACTCTAACCATTTGAATCCTTTTCTGCTCATCCGAGCTTGTGACATTCTTGTCAACACCGACCGCAACCTCGATCCTCAACTTCCAATTTCCATGCTTCCCACTGCACCTAACCATGCCAATACACAAAAGTACAAGAACTTCATCATAACTCCTGAACCAATGATAGGGTACACGCTTCATCATATA